CTTTCTCTGGGTAGGTAGGCCCTCTCTTTTACTCTAAAACCATTGTAAGGCTGCGGGGAATCAGTATTGATTTAAAGGTCACCTATTATGCAAAATCCACTTTTTGATGTATTTTATACATCAACATGTGTCCCCTCTGTGTAAAGAGATTCTGAAAGTCTCAGTAACAAAGACCCCCTNGCTACCTGTCTCACTCTTTTCCGGCCTCCAGCTTTTCCTGCTGGAGCCCGCCGCTTAAAGGTGGGGGACGCGGACCGGCCATAGAGCCCATAGAGTTAAAGGTGGTGGACTGTAACCTGTAAAATCCATAGATTTAGGAGGTCCCCTAGTGGCCGTTAGCTGTAAAAATCCATAGATTAGCCGCACCGTTATATAAGCCGCAGCGTCGAAAAAAGGCGCGGCTTATAGTCCGAAAATTACGGTATATTTGATTTACTTGCACTATTATCTGTTTTACTGCTGGAGGAGCCTGTGACCTAAGGTTTTCATTGTCCTAGCTATGAACACAGGACAATAAAAGCCTTGAAGCTTGAATCTAGACTCACCTGAACCTTGGGTGTCCTGAGGGCCATTTGAACTGGTGCTTTTTGTGCAGGTGAACGGTCAGGTTGTTGCCTCGGGTGAAGCACTGATCGCACACATGGCACTTGTAGCGAGCGACGAAGTTCCCCTGATTACAGAGAGGAAACACACAAAGGTCATTTAAAGGTCACCTATTATGCTAAATCCACTTGTTCATGTCTTTTCTTTTAGAGCCCATAGAGTTAAAGGTGGTGGACTGTAACCTGTAAAATCCATAGATTTAGGAGGTCCCCTAGTGGCTGTTAGCTGTAGAAATCCATAGATTAGCCGCACCGTTATATAAGCCGCAGCGTCGAAAAATGGGAAAAAAGGCGCGGCTTATAGTCCGAAAATTACGGTAGATAAAGTCGTTAAAATGTTTTAAACTCTTATTCCTAATTGTGGAAATCAGTCTTTTTAGTTTTGGTTCATTCTTTTCGCGCATGGAGAATTTTTTTGTTCCCCTTCTGATTACAAACGTTATATAGTTACACCTTTTGGTGCTGGCTGAGACTGAAACAAATACCATATTCTTAAATGAGTAACACTTTTTTTCTGACTTTTTCTTCAGAGCTTCCATATTGTAAGAAGTGAGATTTCACTTGTGTTTTAATGAGTAACCAGGTCTAGGTGCTATTTAAATGCTGTTAAAGCTAAAACATGGGCACTAAATAGAAGTGTTTCATTCAAGGTATACAATACAGGTATATTCAGGCAGTATGAGAAAAATAATGTGATTTCAACCAAACTACATGGAAACTGAAAATACAAGTATGAACCTGAAACATATCTTTGAATGTTCCCTTTGAAGGTGTCTATCACAGGCCAATTGGGAATGAAGCATGCTGGAGGGGCAGGAATCCCAATAACAGCTACCAACCTGCGTATCCAGGGTAAAGATGTCCTCCGCCTCCCTCCCTCCTCCATCACTACAGACTCTAAGGGCCAGACGGTGCTGCGGATCACCCCAGACATGATGGCCACTCTCGCCAAATCCCCAGTTGCGACTGTCAAACTCAGCCCTGACTTCCTGGGCTCAGCCTCAGGCGGTAAAAGCATATCAGCTACTCTGCACATGACGCCCCCCCACTCCTTGCCTTCCTCTGCCTCCGGTTCCACTTCGGATCTTCAGACCACTAAAGCAGGCTCTGTTACCTCCACCTTGTTGAAGGCCACCGGCGACATTCGTCTGATGCCCACTCTGGCTGTCACTATGGCGGACCAAAAAACAAGAACCTTCTCCACTGTTTCCTCCCCCGACAAGAGCGGGGCCACCATTCGGATAATGCCAGGCCTCGGTGTGATTCCACAGAAACAGGGTCACACCATCACTATGACAACCACCACTGGCACTAAGACCCTCACAGCGTCTACCTGTGCTAACGTAGTGACCATGGCTGCCAGTGTTGTGGCCGGGGCCAAGGGGCTCACTGTGGCTCCGGGGGTCTCATGCTCCACTCTGACGCTAGGAACAGCCACTGCCACCGTGAGGCAGGTCCCCGCTACCGTGGTTACCACACAAACGGTAAGAGAGTTTGTCTCATTCTGCTCATGTTTTAAGGACAATGCTAGTTTTTTTTGTATATTTTGCGCCATCATGATCGCACCAGGTATTTCATGTAATTGAATAACAGCAGATGGCCCCTAGGTGTCACTGTTTCACTTGAATTGATCCGGTCCAAAGCCCCTACAGCAGGGGTGTCACACTAAATTTCACTGCAGGCCACATTAGCATTATGGTAGCACTCAAAGGGCCGGCTGTAACTTTAAGACTATATAAATATACATATTTAATAATGTATTATATTACATTCTTGGCTCTGCATTGGATTATTATCAGTTCTGGTAATAACTTTGTCTGAAGTCTAGGGCAAATAATGGAAAGCAAATATTCAACAATTACACCAATTGTATTGTATTTTATTTTATTTTCAAGCTCTTGCGGGCCACATAAAATGAGCATGACACCCCTGCCCTACAGCGAGGGTATGCATGTAACCACAATCGGCAATGATTTATAAAGCCAACCTCGGACAAACACCTCACGTTTGCAGTGGCGGCGGGTACTGTAGGCTAGGGAAGGCTAAGCCTTCCCAAATATTTTTGTCACTGCATCCTGGTAAAATAAAAATATAATGTTTGTGTCTTTGACATTAGCGCTGCTATGCAGCCACCTGTGCCCTGTACTATGAAGCCAGTTCAACAGACCCTGGATATGTTTGAGTTATCTTAACTAACCCTAACAAAACGAGATCTCGCTAAGCGGTCCTACGACGCTGGTTATCAACTCGGTAAATCAAGCCAGGGTTTCTCTCTCCAGCTGAGAGCGCATTCACGTGAAAAGGGCGGGGTTAGCAACATTTGACCAATCACAAACAGGGACAAGTGTACTGACAGCGCAGCGTCATACTTCATTAATGAAAAGTAAACTAATATTAGAAAAATATGAGCTTTAACCATCCATGACTTAAACATATAATCCAGGATACAAGCCACTAGCCTGCACCTGNCGACCCCCATATGTCACCATTCTTTCTCTGGGTAGGTAGGCCCTCTCTTTTACTCTAAAACCATTGTAAGGCTGCGGGGAATCAGTATTGATTTAAAGGTCACCTATTATGCAAAATCCACTTTTTGATGTATAAAATACATGTAAAGAGATTCTGAAAGTCTCAGTAACAAAGACCCCCTCTCTTTTTGTCCTGATCCGTTTCTATAAAAACCTGTCTGAAAATGAGCTGATCACATTTTGGCGACTTTATGATGTCACAATGTTTTTTTGGTCAGTGTTACCATTAGCCAATCACCAACCATGGTAACCCCCCCCCCCCACACACACCTTATCACCTGAATCTCCTCCTGGAGCACCATTGAGTTTTTTTAACCAAATATCTCTCAGAGGGGCGTGGGGAGGGGCTCCTTATTTTAATATAAAGTAACAGACAGAGAATCAGCACTTTTGAAACAGGGCTGAAACAGAGGGGATTATGGGTAATGCTGCAATGATCTGTTTGGTGTTTGGAGCCAAACACTTCAGAGACATGTTTTGTATATATCTGAGACCTATAATATATTGATGAAAAACAGTATAATAGGGGACCTTTTTAAGTGTGTGCCATAATTCTGACCTTATTTCTTCCGTAGTGCGAGATGCAGCGGCCAGGTTACCCAACGGAGAAGGAACAAGGGCGGAGATCTGTGAACTGTTGAAAGACTCACAATTTCTTGCTCCAGATGTAACCAGTGCACAGGTAAGATATTATTTGTCTTTTAGTCAACTTTACAGTGGCCTGAAGCCTTTAAGTAATTTTCTTCTTTGCTATCTAGGTGAACACGGTGGTCAGTGGGGCTCTGGATAGACTTCACTATGAGAAAGACCCCTGTGTGAAGTATGACATTGGTCGTAAGCTCTGGATTTACCTGCACCGCAGTCGCAGCCAAGAGGAATTTGGTGAGATAGCATGTGCTCGATTTTTAGCTCTCAGCTGTCCACCTTTTAAAGCGTAAAGATCTCTTAAGTCTGTGGTCTTTTTCATTTGTCTTATTTTGACGATAAGATTCATTTTATTTCCCATAACCCCATTAGATCTGCCTGACACAGAATTCAAAAAGTTAGTTTTTTTGTACCGTGGATTTGTAGAAGATGTTGAACTTTGATAGCTTTCATTCCTTTAACTTTCTATTGCCATGGTCCTGTGTTCACCATACTCTGATTGAATTGAGAGGAAGAAACAAGTTCTCTTGTAGTAAATGCTTTCAGTTATTTCAATGTTTTTTCATATCTTTCTATCTTTTCTCCAGAGAGGATCCACCAGGCTCAAGCTGCTGCTGCAAAAGCAAGAAAAGCCCTACAGCAGAAACCTAAACCTCCGTCAAAGCCTGTGAGTCCATCACCTTCATTTAACTGCAAAAAAAAGCGACATCTACCTGCACACATAAACTATTAGCTGTATGGAAAACACTGTGGAAGTTTGAAGTGGCTTATCAGTGTGTGAAAGTTGTCAAGTGTTGGTTATGAATCTCCTGGTTATCTTTTAGAAGTCTGGTAAAGAAGGAGGCGGTAAAACCCCGGGGTGTCTGGAGGCAGGACAGGATATGGGCTCCATTCCTATGTCCCCAACCCCTACAACACCCACTCTAAACATACCAGGAAACCCTAAATCCCCCTTACCCTGCGCTGCCAGCACGCCAACAAAGACCGGGGGCCCGGACACAATCAAGACCAGCACAGGGTCAGTGTGCCACAAGTCAAAAGTCAAAGTCAACTTTATTGTCAATCTTTCAGTTTGTGTGTACAGACGGAGAGATCGAAATACCGTTTCCCACAATCCCGAATACAAAAACGATATAATATATATACAGTGTGTGTGTATATATATACGTATACATACACAATCAAACGACACACTTATAACGTCTTTATGTTCTTATTAATATTATAATATTTAATATTCCATTCCTCACATACTTATGTATATATAATATCCTGATTTATATTTTGTTGCTTTTGTAATTCAACATGTATATTTTCAGCTTTTTTTAATGCTATTTTATTTCTATTGAGATATTTACATTTTGGAATGTTTATTTCTAGTCTTTTATTTTTTATTGTACAATGCCATGTCTTTAAGCTGCTGCAACGCAAACATTTCCCAAATTGGGATCAATAAATGACTTCTTATCATATTGATCTTATCTTAATATACAATACAATACATACAACCTATTTTCTTCAGCATCATTAGAATCAGAAACAGGTATATTTCTAAGTAGGTTGACACGTACGTAGGAATTTGACTTGATGTCGTGGTGCATACATAAAAGTAAAACAATAATTTTAAAAAAAGTGTACTAACTCATCGTTTCCTTGCCTCTTCTCGCTATCCCAGGGTTCTCCTCGTGTCCCCCCCCTCGCTGCCCCAGCTGGGAACGATCTTACCCAGCATTCAGGCCTGCCCACAGGTTTCACATACGGTCACGTCCCAACACGCGGCTCGGATAGTGAGCCACCTGGCGGCAGGCTCCCTCCCTCAGGTGCGGGTGGTGTCCGCTCATTCTGGTCTGGTTCCCTCGGCAGGAGGTCAACAGGCTACCATGTTGCATCATACCCCCCACCAGATAAGGATGCCAATGTCACTGACAGCCAAGGGCATCTCCCAGGTAGACAGATAAAGAGCAGAGTTTATTGTTTTGTATCTTGCAAATACATAATGACTTATGGCTGTGTCTGTTATATTTGTCAACAGACAGTGGTTTCTCTTCCTCTGAGGACTCAGTCTGTCAGTAGTCCGGTCCACGTGCCCACCACCCTCTCAGTGTCTGCTGTAGCTTTGGCCAAACCTCAAGCCCGGTCCCCTGGAAGCCCGGCACACAACCACCCCTCTTCCCCCGCTCTGCTGCATGGAGTCTCCGGCCAGAATATAAAACAGGTTTGTTTAAACTATGATGTTTATCCAGTAAGTTAACCGGAACAGTCTTTAGCTGCAATAATGTTTTGTTAAAGCAAAGGTTTAAAATATGTAAATGGGCTAATCCCTCAAACTGCAATAAGGTATTTACAAGTACTGTAATTTTCGGACTATAAGGCGCACCTGAATATAAGCCGCAGCAGCTAAATTGAATGATGTGTACATATATAAGCCGCACTGGACTATAAGCCGCAGG